TTCTTTATAAAAGATACAGGGCTTGTCTACACTAGAGACTTGCATCAGCGCTTTAGTGCTTCTGGTGCAGACGCTCTAAGCCCATCGGAGAGAGCTCTCCCGTCAGCTTAATAACTCCAGCTCTGTGAGAGGCGGTGGCTACGTCAGCGGAAGAAGCTGGCCCACCGACACAGCACTGTCTACACCAGCGCCTAGGTTGGTATAACTACGTTGCTCAGGGGTGTAGATTAGTGACATAGTTAAACTGAAGTAATGCTGTAGTGTAGACCAGGGCACAGTTCCTCCTGTTTTGGCCTTTTTATAACTTTCCCCCTTCTGCTTCAAGTTGAAAATTCAGCTGTTGGGTGGGGGGAGGATTTCACCCCCGGTAATGCTCCTCTCCTGTCTGGTGATTTACAGTTACAAACACTTAAATATTACCTTAGAACGAGGGATACAGGTATTATAAGTGAGATGAATGCACGCTGCAACTTACAAGCATTTCATAAAGTCTAAGCATATTTTTATAACTCTAATAACTATTTGAACAGTACTAATACACAGGCGAGCCAGATTGGTTGCAGCTCTGTATTTGTTAGTGTTCAGTGGAGATCTAGGGGTGTTGGCATGAGCTGGCACCTGGCCTGCCAGCGTTAGAGGCCCAGTAAATCAGTGTGATGGCTGGGCATCAGCATGGACATAAAGAATAAAATATGTACACATGAACCTTGCAGAACTAACAGACTAACACAACACAAAGAACCTTCAATAACGACACCTCTACCAGACAGAACTTGAAAGAGACTAGCTGCAGATTTATGCGAATTCAGAGAATGCCATTACCTGGTTGTCATGGACTATTTTTCCAGATATATAGAAATAATGTACTTGAAAGACATAACATGTTGCAGTGTTATCAAGAAAGTCAAGTGCACTTTTGCTCACTTCGGCATTCCAGAACAAACAGTGACAGACAACGGACCACAATTCACTACAGAAGAATTTAAGTCCTTCTGAACAAAATATGATTGTGATCACATTCCTAGCAGCCCGCATTACCCACAAGCGACTGGAGAGGCTGAGAGAGCCGTACAGACGGACAAGAAAATCCCACAGCAGGAAGATCCATTCCTTGCTCCTCTGAGCTACAGATCAACACCAATAGCAGGGGCTGGCTATAGCCCGCACAGCTCTCGATGGGAAGACAACTCAGAACTACCTTTCCAACTTTGGAAAAGAACCTGTCTCCAAAGTGGGCAGACATGGGGGCAGTGGCCAGATTGGATGAAAAGGCTAGAAAAGCATATGAACACTTTTACAACTGTCATAAATATAAAGAAAGGGGTAGCATAAAATCCTTCCTTGGCAGCTGTACTGAATCGCTTTACCTGTAAGGGGATAAGTAGCTCAAATCACCTAGTTGGCAACTGACCAGAAGGACCAATGAGGAAAGAAGATATTGTCAAATCTGGGGGGGGGGGGGTGGCTCTCTTTGTTTGTTCCCTCTCTGGACAGAGGGAGAGACCAAGCAGGTAAAACATATCCTGAAAACATACCTGGAATGATCCATCTAAAATTACAGAAATTGTAAGTAAGGCAAGGAAATGCATTAGGTTATCTTTTGTTTTGGCTTGTGAATTTTCCTATGCTACACAGGTAGTTTTATTCCTGTTTTTGTAACTGTGAAGCTGAATCCAGAGGGGGGAATCCTCTGTGTTTTAAATCATTTCATTACCCTGTAAAGTTACCTTCCATCCTGATTTTGCAGGTGTGATTCTTTTACTTTTTCTTTATAATAAAGTTCTTTTAAGAACCTGATTAATTTTCAGTGTCCTAAAGACAAAGGGTCTGGTCTGTGCTCACATTGCTACCAACTGGTTGGTATATTATTCTCAAGCCTCCCCAGGAAAGGGGGTGAAGGGGTTTTGGGGGATATTTTGGGGGGATAGGGATTCCAAGTGACCCTCCCCTGAATTTTTGTGTAAAACACTTGGTGGTGGCAGCAAGGACAAGGAAAGCAATTTGTGTGTTGGGGAAGTTTTAACACAAGCTGGTAAAATAAAAGCTTAGGGAGTCTTTCATGCGGGTCCCCACATCTGTACCCCAAAGTTCAGAGTGGGTGGAGGAAACCCTGACACAGCTGTATCTGATGAATATGTAAACAGAGCAGGCGCAAACTGTATTTCCATAAACACACCGATAGTCTCTTCCGCTCCCAGCTAGCTGTCAGGGAAGTATTCATTCAGACCCTGCTTACAATAAAAAGGCCTTCAGTGGCTGATTTCTTTTCTCCCCGTGAAAATCCTTCTCCTGCCACCTGGAGCCGTGCATCCCATGTCCCTGTCCCGCACAGAAACACTCTGTCAGATGTGGGGGGGACACGCCATCAGTACTGATGGGATGGGGCAAGCTCTGGGACATTCAGGGCAACCCCCTGACCTGAACCCTGAAATGGGGTGTTCCCTCCCACCCAGAGACCACCGATGCCAGCCGATAGGCGGGGGGGGGGGGGCAGAGTGAGGCCAGCCGGCTTCAGCAGTGTTACTGAGCATGCACAGTACAAGCCAAGCGGCAAATCGGGGGAGGGGGTATGTGACCCTGCTTGCCCCCCTCACACACATCGCCTGCAGCAGCGTGACTCCAGTAGCAGCAGGGGGCCAGGGCACCCCCAGAAATGAAATATTGGTACTAAAATCTCCTCAGATTTGCCCCAGTCCCTGTAATAATCAGACACTGATAGAAAGTCTCAAGTTCACCCCCATTTCTCTGTAGTTAGTGAATGAGACCCCCCCCAACACCCTCCATTATGGAGGAAGCCTGTTGCCCTGACTCGTTACCCCAGTTGGCGGGCGGCAGGGAGGTTAAAACTCCCCCCGGATCAACGTTCTCACCTCAGCGTCCCGGCAGGGTCTCCGGAGGGGACGTGAAGAGCCACGTTCCCCACGGAGGCTGCCCAGCCCGTTTATCTCGTCCCAGCTGCTGCACCGTCACCGCCCCCCCCCCAGCCAAACTGTGCTGCCCCCCAGCCGCCAATCACCTCCCCACCCCCACCCCCAGGCTGTCCCAGAACCTTCCGGCTCCATCCCCCTTCCTGCCCTGCTAACAGCAGCACCCCCCAGGGCTCCCTGCTGCCAGTGTGAATGGCGAGGGGCCGCGGCAGGGTGGAGGAACCATCCCTTCCTTTAGCACTGATGGTCTGCAGACCCCCCCGGTTTTACCTCCTTCTCTCCCTTTTAAACTGCAGCAACTTCTGCTTCTGGAGGGAAAGCGTCTCCTTCAGGCATTACTGCCGAGGGAGTGGGGCAGGGATGGGTGCATACAAACGCCCTTTCAGCATCCCCCCCAAAGATCTGGGGATCCAATTGTTTTCCTCTTTATGTCAATAAAACTCCCCCAGCCCCCTAGATGGGTACGTCTGCCATCGACCCACCCCCAGCTGCGTCCGGCTCCATCCTCCCCAGGGCTCCCTGCTGTGTGTCGGAACGGCAGCTGGGGGCACATCCCCCCTTTCTCTCCCCATCAGACTGGCATTCAGCCCCCCAGATTCTGCCCCCTTTCTAGGAGCCGCGTCCCTTGGTTTGGGAGGGAAACAGCTGTGCTCAGCTCCCACAGCCGTCAGCCTGCCCAGGGCCAAAGGTGACACTCGCTGAGTGACAGAGGCCCGAAGCGTTAACAGAAACATCGGAAGAATATAGATATAAAATCCCTGGGGAATTGAGCCCTTCCCCCTGCCCCAGTGTCAAACGTTGGTGAAAAATCATAATTGTCTCCTCCGACGTTGCCATTTCTATTGATTTCTTGACTCTCATTGAAAGCCCCCAGCTTGTCCTTTTCTCTCTCTAGTTGTCAGACTTCGAACAAATCCCTCCAATTGCACCTCTCCCTTTCTGATTATTAAACCCGGCTGTAAAATCCCCTCGGATTTCCCCTCTTCATTCTCTGCAGCAGTAACAGCAAATACAGTCAGTCCGTGCTATTTCTGGTTTATTATTGCTTGCTGAGAAGAGCCGAGCGTGGGTGCGACAGGGAGAGAAGGGGGCAGAGCGGGAGTGACACAGCGTAACACAGCGATGCTTTGCAGAAGGGACTTTGTAGCCGGGGACGCAGGATCTGGTCTCCCAGGGGAGCCGGAGGGACCTGATTCGCTCCCAGCCCAGGAGAGCCCCCAGGGCCAGGCGAGCTGCCTCCCCTAAGGCCTGTACTTGCAGACAAACGGGTTTCTATCGTTACAGGAGTCGTTGTCCCAAGTCATGAAACCTAGAAAGAAAAACAGAAATGACCCGTGGGGTGGGGCAGGCTGGGACGTTCCTGCTAGGGTGACCAGGTGTCCGGGTTTCGACCGGAACACCCACTTGAAAAGGGACCCTGGTGGCTCCGGTCAGCACTGCCAACCGGGCCGCTAAAAGTCCGGTCGGCGGTGCTACATCACTAAGGCAGGCTAGTCCCTACCTGTCCTGGCTCCGCGCTGCGCCCCGGAAGCGGCCAGCAGCAGGTCTGGCTCCTAGGTTGGGGGGCCACGAGACTCCACGCGCTGCCCTTGCCCTGAGCACCAGCTCCGCACTCCCATTGCCCGTGCCCCAACCTCCGAGCTCCAACCCCCTACCCCAGGCCTGAGCAACCCCCAAACCCGGAGCCCCCTCCTGTACCCCAAACCCCTCATCCCCAGCCCCACCCCAGAGCCTGCACCCCCAGCTCAGAGCCCTCACCCCCCTGCATGCCAATCCCCTGCCCCAGGCTCGAGCCCCCTCCTGCACCCCAAACTCTTCATCCCCAGCCTCACCCCAGAGTCCGCACTCCCAGCCAGAGCCCTCACCCCCTCCCCCTCCCACACCCCAATCCCCTGCCCCAGCCCAGTGAAAGTGAGTGACGGTGGGGGACAGTGAGCCACCAAGGGTTGGGGGATGTAGTGAGCAGGGGATAGGACCTCTAGGAAGGGGTGGGGCTAGAGTGTTTGGTTTTGTGCGACTAGAAAGTTGGCTACCCTATCAGTCCCTGTCCATACTGTGACCCCTCCCCTGGCCCGTTCCGTGCCCCTCAGAGAAGATCCCAGCTCCTGTGCACTGCCCCTAGGAAGAGGAGGGTGACATGGAGCCCTGAGTGCCCCAGATGAGGACAGTTCTGAGACCCATCCCACAAAGAGAGGCCGAGGCTCAGTATGAAAGGGGAGACGCTGGGTCCAGGTGCTACTGCTCCTACCTCCCCCACCCCACGTGCCCCCCACCCCAGCCAGAGGGCCAAGGAGAGAGCGAGAGCCCTGCCCCGGGACTGGGGGCACCCGCTCAGGAATTGGGCTGCTGTCTCCCTCCCTGCTGAGTGAGCTGCCCCACTGCCAGGCCCCCTTCATGCCCTGCCCACCTGGGTCTGGCTACACCCATGGGAACATCTGTCCCAGGCAGGGCTCAGCCGCCATGCAGAGGGGAAGTTACCTGTCAGCTCTGTGCTCTTGGGGAACCAGGGCGCAGTATCCAGCCTGTCTGACTCACGAAAGACCTTCCCACCCACCCCCCACCTCAGCCTCTGCTTGGACCAAAGCTGATCAGAAGAAAGACTCACAAAAAGCAACGAAAAGGTTGTGGGAGAAACACCTAAACCCCTCTGGACAAGGATTAAGGAAACTCCCCTAGCCTCATTTGCATCGGAGATGGGACTGTGAGGCATCTCCATTAGCACACAGAATGGAGAACAGAGATTCCCAGGCAAGAACCGCACAGAACTCTGGGACCAGAAAAGCAGGGAAGCAGTGCATGATGGGGGATCTCTGCTCCAGATGTTAACAAACCCACACCTGCACCCACCCAGCTCAGCAGTTATCAGACCAATTCCAGTAATAAATCCTTTATTGGTATCCAAAATACTGAAGCTGCCCAATTGCATTGTGAGCTCCCTGGAAGGAACACCGCCCATAGCCAGGAATGATCAGTTCCTATTGTCTAGCCTGAACAAAACTATGTTGGGATACTCCCTTGAGCCACCAGTTTACCCGCAAACAAATCTAGTGTTCTCCTTTGAACCATTGTTGTTTCCCTACGAAAACCCCGACCCACGCTCAAGAAGTGCTCTGATGCCTGGACCCAAGCTCTGCATCAGTTCCACTGGGACTCCATCTTCTCCTGACTGATCGTGCTGGGGGCTCTGCCTGTCTCCAGCACTCTGGACCCTGAGCTACCACCACCTGGGACCCCCGATCAATTCAAGCTTTACGGAGTGGTGAGAACCTAACTCTCTCTCTCGGTGGAGCCTTCTGACCCCGACTTGTGTGATCACTTATAGTTTTCTAAACCTGACTTTTGTAATCAAATTGAAGTTAGATTTAATATTGTAACTGGTTTGTTTGTTTGGCTTCCCTATGGTAATTACCTGGCAACAAATAACTTTCATGGTTAAGCTGGTTGCCACTCTCTCTCTCTCTCTCTCTCCCCCGGTGGATGTTTTTTGGCTTCCCCATTCACTCTGCAGCAACGCTCCTCGTACCTAAGCTAAAGATCCCTGCAGTGCCCAAAAATCCTGTGGGGTTTGCTCATCCAGTGGGTCATGACCAGAACAATTATAACATGAATGTGGGGATAGGGACATCTGAGGGTGGCAGATTGAAAGTGCTGCTCTACCCAGCCTGCTGGGTCCAGGGGCATTCAAGGGGTCAGCTTGGGAGTGCTGATTAACCTGGTCCACTCAGACTTGCTCTGTTTGTCTGATTCTGGGACTGGAAGAACCCAGCCCTGGGGAACCTAGATCCTGCAGGATAGCCCCATTGGGAGGGGACTTGCAGCAGGGAGTAGAGCTCCATATGAGAGCAATACAATAGAGATATCCTACCTCATAGAGCTGGAAGGGACCCCCCCCAAAGGTCATTGAGTCCAGCCCCCTGCCTTCACTAGCAGGACCAAGTACTGATTTTGCCCCAGGTCCCTAAGTGGCCCCCTCAAGGATTGAACTTCCAACCCTGGGTTTAGCAGGCCAATGCGCAAACCACTGAGCTATCCCTCCCCCCACAAGTGATGCAAGCAGAACATTGATAGAATTACAGGACCCCCCCCCAGAGTAACCCTAATAAATGAGCGCACCCCAAAGTAACAGGCAAATCTGGTAACAGGCTGTGTCCCAGCCCCAGGAGTCAGTGTTACCGGCCTGCTGTGCGCGGAGCGGCACGTTTCTCCCTCAGACCCCAACAACCCACACAGGGCTGGATAGGAGAGAGTGAGTGAGCAGGGTCCCCAAAGCACCGGGTCAGCGTCTCCCTCGTTGGCACGTGGCTCTGAGCCTCTTGCTTACCTGTGTCTTCCTCCAGCACCGCACAGTGCTCCCCCTTCAGGGAATAGTAGCTTTTCTGCTTCTCCCAAGCACTGTAGTCCACTGTGGAGCCATCAACCCAGGACCAGCTTTGCCTCTGCAGACACCGGGCAAGAGGAGACCACAGGGACATGGTTTTTATAGAAACTAAGGTTAGCTAGAGAAGGATCCGGGTGAGACAGGGGAGGGCCCTGGGCAGGGCTGGCAGGAGAGGCCAACTGAGGGTCATGGACGCTAGAGACCCTGATGGAGCCAACACTTAACTGCTGTGACAGGCTGGGCTAGGACTTATCAGAGTGTGGAGCTTGTTCTGTGCCCCGGGCGGAAGGATTAGCACTGAGTTTGGCCTAATTTGGGCTTGCCCAGGGGCCGTGTATTGTGCTGCCTTCCAAACAGCTGCCCGGCCTGGGAAAGGCATCTGACACCCCACTGAGGGACCATCTCTAGAAGCAATGAAGATTGCCATGAGTCCATCAGTGGCCACTGACTCTGAACTATTGGCCCATGTCTATGGAGCAATAGATGTCCTACACTGGGGCCTGCCAAGGGGAGGGCAGCATGACCTGGTGCGGTGAGCTGGGGGGGTGAGCACCTGGCTCAGAGACAGGGGAGCTGTTTAAAAGCGAGGTCCTGCTCCAAGCAGGGAGCCAGCCATCAGCACACGCGACAAGGACTCGCAGGAGAGACTCTGCCCAGCCTGAAACGCTGACGAATCTTGGGATTTGTCTACACCTAAAACCCTGCAGCTGCCCCGCGGTAACGATTCAGTGAAGACGCTGCCTATGCCGACAGGACAGGTTCTGCCCTCAGCGCAGTGAACCCACCTCCCCAAGAGGCCGTAGCTAGGTCAAGGGGGGGATTCTCCCGGCAACCTAGCACTGTCTACACCAGGGGTAGGTCGGTTTAACTGCCTCGCTCCGGAGGTGGATTTTCACCCCCCCTCCGAGTGATGTAGTTACACCAACCTAATTTCCTTGTGTAGACCAGGCCTCAGCCTCACCGCGGGGTTAGCACCAACCAGGGGAGGGGCCATTTGAGGACTCCAGCTGGGAATGGTGACTAGACCCTACCCAGCCCCAGCTGGCTTGGATGCACCTGGAACCCAGCGGCTGGGTCAGCTCACAAGAGACTGGGGAGCGCACACAGAGGGACTGGGCCAGTTTGTAACACCCACAGTAGCTGCACTTAGCAGAAAAGCAGACTTCAGAGCCAGCGTGGGTGCCGGGCACTCACCCGGACAGGGATGTAGAGTCCGATCCAGACATCGTCGTCGTCACGGCGCTGAGAGCGGGTGATGAAACCAGCGACTGCATCGTGCTCCTCCTCGCTGTGAATGGAGGCGAGATGGGCCCCGCTGCCGAACCTCTGACACCGAGCCTGTGACAAGGACAAGGCCAGTTCCCTCCATTGCTCCCGCTGCTGACGGCAGCCTGCCTCCCCCGGGCAGCACCCCGAGCAGCAAGGGCTGTGAGGGGAGAGAGCCCCCAGCCCTAGTGCATGGCCTGCCCCCTTGCACCCCACACTGCAGAAATTCTCCAGGGCCAAACCCCTCCTGACCTCACCTGACACAATGCACAGCACCACCCCTCGGAGGGGACTTTTGTCCCTGAACTTTACTCTCAGGCTGGACCTTAACCTGGACCTTTAGCAGCCCCAAGCCAGTACCTTATTCCAGCCTGCAGCATTGTGGGAGCCAGAGACACAGGAGAGAACATGCCCCCGCCCCCGGGCCCCTTCAGCCACCTGGGTAGGCAGCTGAGGGGGCTGGTTCCCTATTTCCTCACCCCCATGTTCACTCCCCCAACCCCAGTGTCACGTCTGAGGCCTTTGTCTGCAGCCAAATTAGGGAACAGCATCAATGAGCTAAGAAGCAGAAAGTCACTTCGTCCCGTTCCCGCGAAATGACATGAAAACCATGTCCTATCCGGCTGTTGAGAGGCTCCATGCGAACAGCTCCCCCCGTCTCCAGAGAAAGAAACAGATCGGGAGGTGCTTACAGAAAACTTGCTTTGATAGCATCCGGTCTGGCAAGGAGTCAGTATCAACAGTTGTGGTTGTGAAACCCTCATTTCTTTACTTCCCTATTGTTTAGCTGTCCCGTCTCTGTCTAGCTCGCTGGTTGTTTCTGGCTGTTACATAACTCATTTTGTTGGGTGTAAATCAACTAAGGCGGTGGGCCCTGATTGGTTAAGGGATTGGTTTACAATATGTTAGGATTGGTTAGAGAATTGCTTAGTAAAATTGTAGTAAAATGATTGGTCCAGGTACAGCTAAGCAGGACTCAAGTTTCACAATATAAACTGGGGTCCAAGAGGAAGTTCTTTGGAACCAACTCCAGGACCCAGCCCCAAAGATCAGAGCTGCCAGACCCCAACACTCTGCCAATGACACCCTGAAGAAACTGGGGTTCCCCGGGTGGACCTGATCCTGACTGGCCTCCAGAAAAGTTCATCTCTCTTATTGGGAGTGGGGAGCACTGTAGGCTTAGCGTGTGCCGTCTGTTTGGGTGATTGTTAATAAATAGAAGTTAAGTAGGATATTACTGGGTAAGGCTCTTTCACTGGTAAAAGACCCCACAAACCCACAAAAGATTAAGCCCCGAGTCCACAGGGAAAGGGTGTTTACCAGAGCCCATGGGGGGGTAAAGTTAGGTGCCTTTCGCCTGGAGCCCTAGGACTGGGTAGAGGCGGGATGTCCTAGAGTGTGCAGGCACCAAATTTAGGGTAAAGTTGGGTGCCTTATACCCGGAGCCTTAGGAACTAGAAAAGGGTCAGGGGTGCCTAGATTAGCAGGGTTACGCCTTGAGCCCACGGAAGGGTAAAGGCGGGTGCCCTAGAGTGTGTGAAATAGAGAATTTTGTGGGGGTAACACCAGCACCGTGCAGAGCAGAACACAGCACCCCAATCAGGAGTCGCAGAAGCTGCCTAAAAGTGGGGAGGCCACCAGTGCCCAAACCATGGCCCTGCCAGCACCCCGTCCCTTCCTCCTGAGGCCCCGCAACCATTCCACCCCTTCTCCCCGAGCCTCTGCCCTCACACCACCCTTTCCCCCAAGGCCCCACTCCTGCACCATCTCTTCCCCCAAGGCCCTACCCCCACGCTGCCTCTTTCCCTAGGACCCTGGCCCTGATCATTCCTCCCCACCCCTCCCCCCCTCGCGCAACCTTACGGCCAATAAAAGTGATGGGGCCACGGTTAGACACCCCGACCCCTCATTAGCTACAGCTCATCTGAAGCATGTTGTTGCTGGAGGAGATCAAGGGGCAACATGCTATTTGGGCAGGATGGCTCCCGCCGCAGCCCGTTCCCCAGGCCTCTCCAGCCCAAATCAAAACTCCCACCCCTCCCCGGGAGCCATTCCCCCGGCCAAGCCCAATTCTTCCTCTGCTCGGTTCCCCCCATTCCAGGAGCCCCTCAGCGCTGCCGCTCCCCAGCCGCGGCCACGAGAGGAGCCTCTTACCTTAGCCCTCTCCCAGCTCAGCTGTTCGGGGAAGTATCCATAGCATTCGTCTTGGAAGGAGAACCAGCCCCTGGGACAGGGCCCAGCCTGTGCCCCTGCAGAGAGGGGGCCGGGGGTGGGGGGAATGGTGGGGACAGGACATCGTGGTTAGATCCCACAACGGCAGAACGGGGCCCCTGGGACCCAGCCCTGAGCAGGGATCCCAGCCGGGCAGGGCCTGTGGGTTTGCATGGGGCCTGGTGCCTTTCCCCAGGGCTCCCTGGGGCAGGGAAGGAGCAGTGCACTGTGGGGGGGTTGACAGCCCCCTGGACTCCCAGCCCCGAGATGGGTAACTACAACCCCTGCCCCCTCCCCCCAGCAAGGCTGAGCTCCCTGGGCCGTACCGGAGAGTGGGGCGGAGAACCTGGCAGGGAGGGGAGGAGCCGAGTGAAGATGGGGGAGCCCTGGGGCGACACAGGAGGAACATAGGAGCAGGGATCATAGTTCCAAAGGGAGGGCCAGCGAAGGGCCCGGGCAGGAGGCGAGAGCGGAGTCCGGGGGGTGGGAGTGGGTGGGGTATTCAGACGGGGAAACTGGAGTGGTCTGTGGGGCTGCCCTGTGCCTTGCATCTAGCATCTTGCATGGCACCAGGAGCGTAACCACAAGTTTTCTAAGGCGGGGGCCCAGGTCACCTGCCCGGCTGCCCCAAATGTGCGTGGCATGCCAAGCTGGTGTTCGGGGTCCCAACGCCTCTCACACCCTGGCAGTGGGGAAGGGGCTCTGCGGTTACGCCATCCCGCTGGGGTCAAGGGCCAAGCTCCTGGCCTCCTCCCTCACTGTGGCACCTTTGCCACATACCTGCAGCCCACCCTCAGCCTCCGGCACCCAGCTGAGCTGTGGGGGAAGCTGCAGCTCCCTCTAGGGCTGCTCCAGGCCACGGAGAGCCCAGTGCACGTCTGCCCCCTCCGGCCGGGCCGGGCCCACCTGGGGAGCAGCTGCAGCCATGAGAGGCCGGGAGGAAGCAGCAGCAGCAGGTGTCTGCCTGGTGGGGATAGGAAGTGGGGGGCTCCCCCAGACCAAGAGCCCCAGCCAGACCCTGCCCCCCAAGATACCCCAGTGACCAGCCCCCAACTCTCACCCAGCACCCCAGCTCCCAGCGACCTCAGAAACCTCCCAAACCGTCTACTTAGGGGGTCTTCCAGAGCCCCACTATCACGCCCCCTGCCTACCCCAGCACCCAATCCACCCTGTACCCCAAACCTGCCCCGTTCTGGGCAGCTCCATGCCCTGCCCTCTCACTGCTTGGGGAAGGGTTTAGTGACCACAGCCTGGGTGGGCTCATGCAAATAGCTCTCTGAGTAATGACACATGGAACTGGAACTGCACAAACCTTGGCAACTCTTGTGAAAAGAGATTGTGTGCAAGCGCCCGGGGCAGGGGGCACAGCAGGACAGGGTGGGGCGGAGTCCCAGTGTGGGGAGGGGCAATGGGACAGTCTGGAGGAGAAAGGCACAGTGTGCCGGGAATGGGGCAGCCCAGCCCGGATCAGAGGCCGGATGCGGGAGAAGCTGGGGTTGGAGGGGAGCCATGACCAGCCTTTGGAGAGGGACCCCGCGGGGACACGGCCGGCCAGTGGGAGGGGAACACGGGAGGGTGGGATGGGAGAGCCTGGAGCTGACAGGGGCTGAGCGCCCATTGCCCAGGGACTGGCCCCACCCAATCCTCATGGGAAGAGCCGACCCTGGGGGGCATTTCATCCACCTTCTCTCACCCGCTCCCTGGGGAAAGGCTGCAGGGCCTGGGCTCTCCCCAGGGCAGTGAACCTCATCAGCAGGAGACGGGCAGTGGCTCTGGGAGCGACGAGGGAAATTAATTCACTTCCCAATTCCCACCCCCCGGGGCTCCAGCTCCGAGGGCCGGGCAGGGACTCACCTTCCAGCGAGGGGTTAAAGATCAGGCAGCCAAGGAGGCAGAGGCTGAAGTAGGCGACTGGCCCCATCTTCTCACTTCCCCTGGGGAGAAAACACACCAGGGAGATGGGGCCACGAGAGCCCGAGACACCCTGGGAGTGACCCCACCTCCAACATGGGGCATTTCCCGGGGGAGGCGCTTCGGAGCTGGGCTGTTTGCTAAGGGCCTGGCCGGACTGGAAGGGCTGGAAGGGTCCCTGTGAATTAGGGGAGCTGTGTGTGGGCCCCCTCCCTGGGCTCTCCCTGCCCCTCCTCTCCAGCCACACAGGGCAGGGCAGGGCAGGGGCACGGGGAGCAGAGCCCCAGGGAGAGGACGCTCAGCATCGACACATGGGGACGGGGTGCGGGGGCCGCACTGTGCGGGAAGGGGTGGGACAGAGACGGCCCCAGGGACTCACACAGGGCAAGTCCGGCCATGAGGCCCCGTCACAGGGCTCAGATGCCATCGAGTGCCCGGCACCCAGTGCCCAGCACCCAGCGCAGAGGGAGAAGGGCCGGGAGGGGGCAGGGACTCACCTGTCCGTCGGTCTGTTTGTCTGGGCGGCTGGTCTGGAGCGATGAGGATCGGAGCTCAGCCTGAGCAGGGCGCTGGCTCTCCGGGGTATTTATAGGCCTACTGGGGGCACGAGGGGGGGGGAAAGTGAGGGGGCAGGATGCTGAACATGCAAATCAGCCCAGCTGGCAAATACAAGGATCCCAACCCAGAGCAAACAGAGACTCTGTGACCCGCCCGTCAGCTGAGCTGGACCATCAGGAAGCCTTAGTTAGGGTGAGATCAAAGGCAGAGGCATTGGGTAACGGACCCATCCTGGGCCTCTGCACGAACCTGAGTCCTCCCCCCGCCCATCACTGCCGTCTCCCTCGGCCGGGCTGCAGCTGGCTCTCTGCCATCCCGGTGTTCAGGGAGGATCAGCCCGGGGCGCTGTAGCCCATCTCCTGTCTCCAGCAGTGGCCAGGACCCGCTGCCTCATGGGACGGGGCAAGAATCCCAGCAGGGGCAGCGAGGGGATAACCTGCTTTGGTGAAGACGCTGCCTGACCCCCAGTGCTCAGCACCAGCTCACGCCCTGAAGCAGGGGGGTTTATAGCCCAGCCTGAGCTCTGGGGCAGTTTTATCCTCACGGTTAGAACTCTGCCTGTTCCTGTTCTCCACGTAAATGTCGAGTCATTTTCTGAATCCTGCTAAACTGCTGACCTCAATAATATATTGTGGCAGTGAGTTCCACAGTCTAATCACGTTGTGTGGGGAAAGAATTTTCTTTCTGGTGCCTTTCAGTATTGGACTGTCCCCGTGTTCTTGTGCTAGGAGATGGGCTGAACCTGCATCCCACCCCATCCTGCTTCCCTGGACACACACACCCAACCTCCTACGGAGCCGATCTGGACCGACGGAGACTGGGAACGTGGGATTCCCCTGAAAGCCTCACAGCCCGAAGTCAGCCAGACCCCTAAACCAGCCAGCCCGGGCCGGTCAACCCCCCGGGAAGAACCAACCCGCTCAGACCCCACGGCCTGTCTGCAGCAGACAAATGTGCACTGATGTCACGACTTCCCCCAGGCACCCCGGAGCGACCCCCTACGGCAGCCATGGGGCACAGCTGGGGCTTACTAGTAAAGGCTGCCTGGGTAGAATCCCCAGAGTCTCTCTGGTGTCTAATACCACGTCCCCAGCCACCAGCAACCTCTGACCC